AAGCCCCACGCTTCTTCTTTTTCGTCATCGCTTGATGTTGCCCAATGGATGATAAAAATTGTTAACGCGGTATTGATTCACATCTCTTCAATCCTAAACATCCGGTTCGCGTTACTAGTTGTTCGAATGAATCGATGTCTACGGGCAAACTCCTGTTGACGAGAACGTCGACACCGCCGACTCCTCTATTACAGCATGTCCCGAGGATCAGTTTTCCTCCAATGCCATAAACGATGTTGAATGAGCGTTGTTTTCACGTCTCACCCAATCCGATTACATCACATCTTATCCTTCATGCCTGCACGATCAGGTCTTCTATAGAAGATTCAGATTCAACTAAACCTGCATTGTATGTAGAAATCGTTACGCTACCCTTTCAGAATTTAAGCAGCTTCCGTAATCGTACCACCCCGCGCTGCCGTATAGCGTTCTTAATGTGTTTAGCATTTGATAGAAATATATTGCTAGTTGAGCTCTGAACTTGGGAGCTGAATATACACAGGGGTTGCTTACAAATCTTTCTCAAAGTAGACAAGGAACCTATTTGTTGGAAACGACTCATAAACGTCTCACGTACTTCCCTGTTGGTTAATTACAGGTTTTTTCTGCGAATTGACTCGTAGAATAGAGTCCGTATAAACGAGAAAAAAACCCCACAAAAGGTATGCGTCAAATCGGAGCAGCAGAAAGACAGAGTCAACTCCCAAAAACCGCCTGCGTCTCAACGAAGGATAAGGTCGCTTTTCCTCGGTGACTAACTCCCCCCTATATCCGCCACGTAGCTACGCCCTACTTTTATATACATATATATGTGTGTACTAAAACATATACATATATATATATATACATATATATATATATTCAAAACTCGAATAAGGTACGAAAGCTGGTAGCAGAAATACCTCACAACACACCCAAATTAGAAATAAAGGGAAATTTGGTTTTAAAACTCCTAAAAAGGAAGAAAATGTGCTTTTATAATAAGGAGAAGATTAGCTGAGAAGCGGCACAGATAGAGGACAGAATTAAGACAGATAAGCAAAACTGATTTTTAATGAGATTAAGGAAATCACAACCACTCCCCGTTAGAGCGAGCACATAAATCAAACGGTGGAATTTCACAATGTGTGTGAACAACATACCCAAACACAAAATTATTAGTCAAATAAGGAATTTCTCACAGAGCCGTTTCAGTGAACATTGTACTTGTCACTACTACAATCACGCACCACAAACAAAAAAAAGCATAGACGTGAGCCACCGCTTAGCGAAACATACGCCTTAATCCAGATAAACTTTATTGGTGGCCAAAGCCACAGTCGGGGTAGTGCTATCTCATTAAATGCTGGAGAACACAATTTTGTTAACGGCTTACGTCTCATCCACTGCAATCTAGATAGCCAAACGGTTATACGTAAGTTGTTCTCCCAGTTTGCCTTAAATTCGACAAAAGTTCACTTTATGGTCCCCTTCCGTATTCAACTCTGAACTTCGTCGTAAAGGAAGAAATAAAGTTTCTGAACATAATGTCAATTCCACTGATGCTAATAAAAAACGAAAACCTTGAAATCCAACTCTTTTAATCGTTTGGAAACTACAATAATATTCATAGAAAACAATTTAGAGAACGTGACCACGTGGTGGTAACCATCTCATTTATTACGAGTATGGTTCAACTTACCTAAACACTCTTGTTCAACCCTGCCCAGTGCTCACCAGATCTCTCTCTTCGAGGTCGGAAAATCGGTACCAAATTTTTCTGGGAGAAGCTCACTCCCAATTTACGTAGGAACATCTCACGGCGGCTATCCCAGAACTCCAGAAAAAATCGACTAGACCAGCGTCCAACGACATTATAAGGCGAAACGAAACAAATGCAGGAACTGGGATGGATCATGTTGGGTCATCAAATAAATGAAAAAATAATGATTATGTAGATGTTAAGACAAGTGCTATTGACACTCCTAACCACAACAACCAATCTGTTGCGACTATCTAAATACTACTTACACCCACGTCAGAACAGCCAGTGCTTCATACGGTTGATTTTTGCAAGATGAGAGCTGTTATTAATTGAGACCAATGTAAAAAGACATATATTTCAGAAACAGATCGAAGAATAACCACGTACTAAACTACGCTTAATCCTCTGCGGCAGCCGCTGAATGTTAAGTCTAGTTTGAATGACACATTGTGCGCATTGAAAAATTTGGCCGAAAAAAACCAAGGCCTTTCGTGATTTCTTAAGCATAAAGAATAACTCTTCATGACTTACCTACTGGATTGATATCAATTCATACGGTCACTTATGTTTCAATGCCCATATTAAAAATCCATGCAAATAATTAATTTGGAAACATGAATTATATTTTGCATTCTAAATCCCATACGTGTACACTGTGGATATGTAACGCTTAAAAGGTATGCTCATAGATGTGGTATGTTCGCTCAGATAAATAAACACCAGTATAAGCATTATGCAATCATTATTGTCCAATACGCAATTGAACCTACCTGATACACACAGTAATTTCAAAACTATAAACCCATGTTTCCTTTAGAGAACTTTACGAGTGAAGATCAATACGTATGTTTCACATTGCCACGTTATAATAGGAACTGTTAAATAAGGACTAATTTATGAACGCAGAAACGCGGCGGCTCGACGTTTTTCACATTCACTAGTGTTCACACATCACACAGCCTCTTACAGCTTGGTCGGTGGGAGCACTGCTCAGCGGCACGGGAATAAGATGGTCCGAACGCTCCCCGCCAATCACCTGCAATCCATCCAAAATACTTTTTTTTTCAAAATCGAATTATTTTCTTCCGGATTTTTCATGGCAATATCACTCGCCGTTTTGAAAATACATAAATCAAGTCAGCATAAAAGATATTCCTAATGAATTAGATTTGTGAACTAATTGAATAACAGCATAGACTAAGAGACGGAGACGTAACTGAAATATCCCCATATTGCTGCCCTATGGAGAATTTTTCAACATTTTTCGTGATTATTGCAGCCCAATCAATCCAAGGTGGGCGTTTTGTGTCAGTTTAAGCCACGATAGAGAACACATAAAGCGAATGTGCGTGCCACTTTCTTTAACAGACTGGCTCGGGTGCGCAAATATCGTGCAATTTCACATTAATTTAATGTGGGGGAAACAAGCAGTACATTTGAAAAAACCGGCAATGAATGAAGCCAACAAATTACGGTAAACTTTGGCAAATTTGAATACACAGACACAGACGGTCACACATAATGTAGGTATATAATTATATCTTTTGCTACGAAGTTTTCTAAACTATCAAATGGTTCAAACCAAGAAACGCATTTAAAAAGTAGGCAACTTAAAACGAGACTACAACTTCTTAAGGTAACCTTTATGGTACCTCAGACCTGTGTTACCTTAGAAAGGATCTAGATCGTCTCGACTTAAAATTATGCCCCACCTCAGTCTTTGTAGTTCTACAACAAAAATAGAGTCAGAAACTCCATTCTGAAGTAATCAATCAATTAAAGTGCAAGGTATTACCTGACATGAAATATAAGTTTATATTTGTAGCACCTAGAGTATGACCCACGTATCAATATCATTTAGAATACCACCTATGTATCAAACACATTTGAACAACACATGGGAAACAACAGACCGAGTACGTGACCAGGAAATTCTCTAAATTATTGTTAAACATCAATAACAATTGAAAAGAATTTAATACCTTTCCCAGTAAAAAGTGAACTGATATACTGTTTTATTAACAATAGGTGATCTGAGACAAAACACAAACGAAACAGCACCTAAGACAGACACTAAGCAACACTACCCTCGAATGAATATAATGAATATTGATTGCGACTCACATGTTTTCTATATTTTCATACAATTTTCCCGAACAGATACCTTTTTCATTGCCTCTGTTCAATGTCGAACAAATTACTCATATGTTGTCGAGTTCATAATTTTGACTTTATCGACAAATTTCATTTACAACTTGCACACAAACACACTAAATTGCAAAACCTAGGAAAATTCTAACACACGAGACTTTCTTAAAAGATTGGTACAGCTAAGATTACTGTTGCTACTATAACTACTTGATGTTACTACAAAAACCAACAGAGGTTATACATATTTAGGAGGCAGTCATGATCAAGAAATTCCCTTCTCTACAGTCATGCTACCTGTGTTATGGGTAGATAACGTGAAAAATTGCAGTGCTCACCTAATAACATCAAAATGTAATGCATTTCTCCAATGGAACCGTTTCTTACTTATATTAGAACATAAAAACACACAACTACACGCGATACCTAAAGAAAAAACACTGGCAGTATCTACTAAATTATGAAGATATATGGCAGTTCTATCCTGCTACATGAATTCTCTCAATTCAGAACAATACATTAACTCGTTTCTATCACATTTTAATCAGTGTAACGAATAAAGAAATTCATGAAAACCTCTATCAGCTTAAAACTACCGCGGATGAGCAGATTTGGAACTTGACATAAAACATAAACTATTGAAGAGATTATTTCAGCTTAGCAAAAACATAATACATTACTTGAATATAAAATTTCTAAGACAAAATTACAAGACTCTACTTGTCTCTCCATCGTTTAACCTAATGGTAAAGTGCTTCTACACGAACATGTGCATCGAGAAATACGTGGTTAATACCATTTTAAAGGTGGTCAGAAACAATAATTGTCGAAAACAAAAGTCAATATATCGATTTAAGGTAGCAGACGCTATTTGGACCGGGTGGTAAGTTTACTCTAACTAACAAGGCAATAACGTTGGCGGGGCTCTGCCCGCGACAGCACCGTGGGCACGCGTAAATACGTTATATCATTGAAGTCGTTATATTCACAGTACATAAAAATTCGATCTCCTAGATCACAGTTACAGCAATATTGTGCAGTTTTGCAACAACGACTGTCTTTTGTGTTTCATCACTGTCCATCCTGTCGACAGAAATACCAAGTCGCGTCAGACGTGCGCGACCGACATAGACGTGTCCAAAGACATGCTTTTTGAGATACGCTGAGAATAGGATGAGTTTGTACCCGGTGACCACTTCTGTACCAAAGGCACTTTCTCTAATTTAACACTGAAAACCGCAGGTGATGGAACGGTAGAGTTTCCATCACCGACACCACCGCCGCCGTTTTCCACCACTATCTGCGGTTGTGGTGAGGGTGTTCGCGGTTGCTGATGATGGTAGTACGGATATGGCTGCGGCGAATGTCGATGCGAAAGCGTTGCGAGTGCTGCTCGAGCACCGGTCGGGTCTGGACTCGATGCCAGACGTGACCAGCCACGCATTGATTGTACTGAGTGAGTGGAGGCAATCGAACGTCTCTCGTCAAACTCTTCCAGTGATGAACGGAACGCTTTCACAACTCGTAACTGAAATAGCTACGTATATGTGTGACCTGCTGCTCCCAAAGCGGCATCATGAACATAGTTGAAGAAACTTATGGTTAAATATCCAGTTATTAAGATTATTTATCGCTTTCGTTTCTCACCTCTCAAATTAATGAATACAACTTGACTGACATCTCACATATCGGTCATTGTGATCAATCTGTGAGCTGATCACAACAGTGCCATACAAAACAAATTAAGCAGTGATAAATACCAAATCAAGAAATATCGGAAAAATCGAAACAAAAACGGTTTCCTCTTGAAGAAGAGAGAAAAGGAGACACAAAGAAGTCAGCTTAGATGCGCACAGAGATACAACGAATTTTTCGTGACTATGTTCACTTCGTTTTCTAAAAGTCAGATCACAGCATGTGTAATTTGAGTTATAAAGCCGTTAAAAGAAAGCGCTGGTTTAGAAATTAATAATGGTAAGACCTATCCAAACATGGGGTGGCAAGGCGTTCGACGGCACAATTCCACTGGCAAGCTTATATGTGATCAAAATTGTTAATGAAAGCATTTATAAAAGTGTCTGCAAAACTACTAACTTTAGTTGTTTCAGTTGTGCACTGCTTATTCAACAGACCGAACAGAATAATGCAAAAACCGAAACATGGAAAATTGTCCCTAAGAGATTCATATTTTAACCAAATAAAAAGGTTAGGAGAGCTGTTTCCAAACAGGATCTAAACATGAGTTAAGTACAGCTTTTTCCATACTATTTTCCTTATTCCACATTCCCAATTAATAGAGCTCAAACCACAGAACGGACAGTTTTCATAATAAAAAACAGCTTGGAGAACTCTAGCATACCCGAAACTCACAAGTAAACTAATAAAGAAAAGAAATTGAAAGTTTCATTTCCACAACAAGATTTTTCCAAATTATCTAATACGCAAACAAGCAAAATGACTAATGCATTTTGCAAACCTATGCGTCTGTGGTACTACACAAGTTCCTCTTCAAAAACTATAAGTCATTTGCGACATTACGACCTATTAAAAAACTTTTGCGGAAGAAAAACAGAAGGAAAAACAAACAGATTACGGTCAAAACAGACAAAATATTGTTAGATCATGGGAAATGGTAAGCATGAAGTTTATTCGAAGATAATGCGAAATAGTGAGGAAGAAGACGGGAGAAACAGAAGCAGGATGAAAAAATAAAAGAAGCATAGGAACTGCAGCAGTTATAAAAATATGTGTAGTGCAAGACTCCTTGATAAATTCGCAGGAAAAACATCTGGTTGTTAAGAAAAAAATGCGCGTTTTAAAATATTTGTTTTTATGTAATTCTTCCCAATCAAATATTCTTTATGCATTGCAACACACACAACATACACACTAGTGGAAACAAACACGCGTTCGAGAGCTTGAAGAACAGCATGGCGGAAGCACCACAGGAACAATTCCCACGTACTTTCATCGCATAGCAAAGACAAAAAAAACTCGACAACAGGGTGCCGCACGAATTAAACGACAATCAAAAAAAATCCCCGTTTTGAAGCGTTGTCTGCTTTTATTCTTCGCAACAACAACCACCCATTTCTTGATCGAATTGTGACGTGCGAACAAAAGTGGACTCTGTACGACAACCGGCGACGTTCAGCTCAATGGTTGGATTGCGATCAGACTCAATAGCAAATCCCAAAACTGAAATTGCACCAAAAAATGTTAACGTGACAAGGTCTGCAGACGGCTGATTCGTCACAGTTTTTTGAATCCGGGTGAAACGATGACGGCAGAGAATTATAGCCAACAAATCGACGAAATGCATCGTAAACTCCAACAACAATGAGCAGCATTAGTCAACACAAAAGGACCAATCCTACTCCACAAAACCCGGCCTCACTTTGCGGAACCAGCGCTGCAAAAGGTGAACGAGTTGGGATACGAAATTTTACCTCAACTGCCATATTCAACAGACCTCTCGCCTATCGGCTACTTCTTCGAGCACCTTAACAACTTCATGCGCGAGAAATGCTTCAACAACTACGATGACGCAAAAATGCCTTCAACGAATTCATAGTTTCCAGAAGTACAAAATTTTAAGCAACTGGAATTAATTAACTTGCTTTTCGTTGGCAAAAAATCTGCAGATCCAAATGGTTTTTATTTTGATCATTAAAGCTTTCTCGAAGCAAGTCATGACATTTTAAATAATACAGTCAAAGAAGATCATTTATTTCTAAACAACCTAATTATTGTTTAGTATGCTAAAGGGAAATCATACATCTCTTTACGAATCACAATATACTCCATACACTTTCGCTTTAGGTAGGAACAAACACATGCAAGGTTAACTGACACATGCATACCAAAGCGATCCACAATCTAACATACCACTGAGCAGAGTTGTTGCGCATAAATGACTGTCGTATTACCTTTCAAAACCGATTTTAATCTAACCCTGGTGTGCATAACCAATATTTTGTTGCATACGCCTAATTAATATCTTGTTGTATTGATAAGATGACATGACGTTGTTGCAAAACTTTTACAGAACTACGAACTGAGGTTACTTCATTTATGTGAAGCCCTATTCCACTGGATTCGAATCAATTCAACTATGAAGACCCCAAAATGTAAAAAAAAAAACTACTTCGGACAATACAGCCGAATCACGCGGCTCTTAAGAAGGCTAAGGAGTCAGAACACTAGTCACGATATGAAAAACAAAACAAGTTCGTGTTTACTTATGAATAGAAAGGTCCTGCTTTGACACCATTTCTAATGAACTCTCTTTGTATCCAAATATGATACACAAGCGATGTTACCCTTACCGGGAAATCTTCTACAACGAAATCAAAACACTAAAAACATAAACCTTAGGAGGCAATGCAACTAGTACTTGTGGTCACGACGTTGTTAAATAGTTTTGATGAAAGGAGTAGGTGATCAGGATTCACTGCTCAAGGTTGTATTTATGTCTACAATAAAAACATCTACGAAGTTTCACTAGGAGTGGACAAGAAAAGGATATCATTAGGAACATTTAGTTCAAGGAGTGATGAAATTCAACAAACTCTTCATTTAAGCATTGATTTACGCTTCGATCTCCTCTACACTATATTCTTTGATGTTGAATAATGTTTTCAAAGATTATCTCGAAAATCATACACGTCTTGAATTTTCGCACTCCTTCCCGTTTTGCATATGCATACTCATATTTCTGCTGCATTAATCCTCAAATGAACTGGAGCTAACAGTGACCAGAAAAAGCGTGAGGTTGAGCTATACAAGACTAGACAGATGGGAAAAGTTCACGACATCAGGTGTGAAGAGGAAAAGGTATACATATGCGTATATAAACATATATACATATACATGTGTATATATACGTATATGCATTCGTACCTATACATATATATATATATATATATATATATATACACATATATATATATGTGTGCAAATACACGTACACAATGCCAAAATATTAATATACCACAAACATTTCATGAATTATAATCAACCGCCTCCAGTATAGTTCAACTACTCTTGAATTGAAGTGATATCTTAATTCGTATCGCTTTAAAACACATCATACGGATAGTATGTAGCTCATCAAATCTGCATTTGGAACTGATAAGCTTCCACTCTGACCAAAACGGTTTTGTAAATTAATCAGAGTGACAGTCTGCAGCACAACAATTTGACAGCACACTGTTAATGGAAAGTATAACGAATAAAATTCGACATATTCTACTACATGACGAGGTGAAATGCGACGTCAGTATGGAGACCGTAGAAATTTGATGATGAGAACAACAACAAATATAAATTAACTATAACAAAAGGCGAATGTAATATTTATTTATTTCACTTACCCACAAGGGACCTCGAACCTCTGACAAACATTTTGAGACCGGTTCGATACCTTGTTACATTACCTCTTATATCTTAAACTACCATCGGAATATGTCATCAAACAAAACTCAAAACTGATTATCGGAAATGTTGAACAAATAAAGTACATTTCCACGTCTTGCACGTCACCATGATATTAACCGTTGCTTTATTCCCGCCAAAGAGTAATTTTAATATAAAAGAATACCAATGAATAAAGATACACTCTAATCCGGTCATAAATTCGTCTACTTGTTAAAAAATCGCAATTGCCAAAATTGCCAAATTACCAAAACACCACTAAAAGTCTAACAAAAAGAGAGGCATTCTTTAAGCGCAGAAGTGGTAGACAGAACATTGAAATCTGGTTGAAAGAAATCATATTAGGAGTTTATGAAACCACATCTGCCTTAGATAGCCATCGCTCACGTAAAAAAAACTCGCAAGGATCGTGTCTTTAAAAGAAACATGATCGTTCGAATGGACCACCTCTGAATCAGTGGGACAATTCTCCATGTATCTGTGCTGCCTTTACATAACCGTTCGTACCGCCTCGCCATACACATGTATCGAGCACTAAGGTACATAGAATTCATGGAACATATTTTTACGCCGCCAAATCTCTTGCTGTGGCATCGTTCTACACAATACTGATAGAGGGTACCGTTTTCTTTTCATGTTCTGGAGCATTTTTTCAGTATGTGCCAAAGGCAGCATCCATGATGACATTTAAAGAATTTTTTCCAAAGTGGAGAGAAAAAGACGACTACTTCAACTACTTTTGGAAATTTAACACGGTTTAAAGGTAAAAAGATACGTGTTATTCCATTAGGGACACAAAGTGCAAATTTTATTGTAAATATGACGTAGAAACGATAAAAAGCCATTAATCACGAAAAAAAAAAAACCTAGCATGTCATTCTGTTCACCTATGGACGCTCCCTTTAGGCTTCAACTAAGAAAGTGTATTGGTTGTTCTCGATGTCAAACTGATACATCCCATATTATATTACCCAACGCATGCAACTACCGATCGCTATAAATTAAACCAAAATACACGTAATGAAAACAAAAAGTAACTCTATCACTTTAATCAGCATCATCCTCTTCTTATTCTTGAAACACAATGAATATTAGAGAAACACAAAACCTGAGGTGGCATTGAAATTATTGGTGAAAAACGGCCCAGTTATAAACTTTTTTTTTAAAAAAATGACTTCGAAATGGCCACTAGAAGTCATCAATAAGATGTTTTTCAAAATAAATTGAGCTATTTGCACTCCTATTTCCCATAATTGACGTCCACCTAGTAAAATTTCCAGCTACTTTCTTTACGCTAAGAAGAAAAAATATTTCTGGAGTTCTTCTATTCGTCAACAATAAAGAACACGAAAACAAGAAACACCTTAAAAATGTATACTACCTGTAAAGGTTTTTGTTACTGCCTATTTCAGTTGAACTCAAATAAATAAAAGAAACAGTTCCAAGATCTTCAATAGAACGAATCGTACCTGCGTTTGCAGTCGCGTCAGACCACGCACCCACAGAATCTGACCAGAACGCTTCTCATGAGTATCTGGATCTTCATAGTCAGGCATCAACGGATCGCTAATCGGCGCTTCTCCAGAACCGATAGTCATGTTCTGTGGGAGGCTACCGGTCGGTATTGATGTCACCAGCTTAAATAACTAGCTCTCGATGCTGCACAATAACTTATTCATTCTAATTAGTTGGTTGTTTTGTTGGCTTACTCAAACGAAAAGCTGGTTTCATATCAACGTTTTAACTTGAATTCACTAAAAATCTCCGTATTTATTGTATCGCAAAGCAAACACAAATCTGCCATCAAAATAAACAACAACAAACTCAAATCTGTTGCCAAAATAAACAGCAAGTGGGTCATACTGTAGTCAATACTGCATTAAGCCATGCGAAACGACTACTTCAGAATGATATTAATTACTATGAAACCTTTAAATGATAGACGGTAAGAAACAAACAAATACCTGCCCCCAAAGTAAAGTCCCAAAGCCAAGTGCCAAACACCACAACCACTGTTCAATGTTGAGCGCCGCAGTGCTGAACCAACGCCCGCCGAACTGCACGATTAAGATTTGTGAAACAAATGTGGCGATCCAGATGATGTAGTATATTGGATTCGAGAACAGACCCTGTAATTATCAACGAACACTATCCATTTCTAAAGGATAAATAAAGGGACGCAGGGACGTGAGTGGAGTAGTGGTCGGAGCACTAACTCACAGAAAATACATTTCTCTCGCCATGAATCTTTCTTGCATTAATCTCGTTGAATAATGTCATCATAACGAAGGTGTTGAACACGATGGTGAAGTGAACAGACGGTGGTGAGTGAAGAGGTGCCCAGCGACCGGATGGAATATCGAAAAGTTTTTCACCTAAAACTCAACCAGCGGTTGACTGACTTCAAAACCTGTTTCCTAAGAAAAATTGAGTAAAGACGATACATTACGCTACGATTCAGTAAACCCACAATTCTCAACGAAATAAGCATAATCTCGAAATAAATAAAAAGAAAATGTATTTGAGAAGCTCGTCGAAATTCACTGACCATAGAAAATCAGTACAAAGAGAACAACAAGTTGGTACATCGCATGCCCAAGAATGTTCTTGCTCATTGTGCGGGAAATCAGTGGGCTAGTGCGACCATAGGGTTTCCTGGAGAATAATGCAATTCAAGTATGTGAAATAAGTAGAAATTAAATTAACTATGGAAAGAACACAATGCTTTCTATAGCGCATTCAAACTTCATTAAGCGATTTCTTCAAGGAGCATATGAACCTGACAAACCTTTTAAGGAGCTCTTCTGTAGGCATTTCTGTAGCTAACGCCAAAGAGGCTAACGTGTCCATAATAAGGTTCACCCAGAGCATTTGTACAGCCTAACTTTGAAGTGAGATAAAATTGAGAATACCGCATATTAAAATTTAACCCTACATTCCAGAAGCATAAAGCCTCTACAGACATGGATCATACTATGTCACCTTTAATGGTGTGTCCTGAATAGCACAAGCACCAACGAAGGCAACCACGACGGCCACCACGTTCACAGTGAGTTGGAATTGTAGGAATTTCGCGATTGAATCGTATACATTACGTCCCCACATCACTGCCTATACATATATTCATTGAACAAAAAATCGATAGCGTTTTGATGAAACGTTCCCCACTTTCACAATAGAAGTAAAGTTGTCATCGGTAAGGATGATGTCAGAAGCTTCCTTCGCAACATCGGTACCAGCAATACCCTGTATGATACACTTATTAAAAAGTACTTCACCTCAGTAATTTAAAATAAAATGATGAAGTAATGATCACATAAAAAGTGGTAATTTATCCATTTTTTGCTCAATTATCTTCAATGACTACGCAAATTGTACGCTATCAATGGCGCAAGTTTGTGGTGACCACATTGTTAATTTAAAAAAAAAACTCAAATATCTCATGTTTTATACAGGATCTACATGATTGACCTGTGTATTCGGTCATAACCAGATCATATATTAGTATCAATTGTATGAAATACTTAAACTACGCTTAATGATCACCGCCACAAGCGAAGTAGTTACTTCGAACTCGACCAGACTTGAGGAATTTTAACGATGAAAATGAACGCACCATAGCAAAGCCGACATCGGCTTTCTTGAGAGCTGGTCCATCATTTGTTCCATCTCCGGTCACCGCAACCACCTCACGAGCATCCGTTACTCGAGAATCGATAATACCCTAAGGTCACACATCATAATGAAATCATTATTAGTTGAACAAAAGATTTCTCACCAATGTGTATGAAGAAAAGTTATCACCTTAACAAGAGTGTATTTGTCCGAAGGTTGAGCTCGAGCGAGAACACGCAATTTCGGCCAGATCTGGTCCAATTTTTCTTGAGAAACTTCACCATTCTCGTCCCTAATTCTATATAACGAATATCAAAATCCTTCAACCAAATTTTCGTTGGTTTCAAAACTAATGGAAACTATAGCGACCATATTTGTTAACGAAGTAGATAGCGTTTTCTTTCACAGCCAATTCGCCACTTTAATTTCCGTACCTCACACAAAACACGCGACTACACCTAATTCTTCGCCGCAAGCAGTGCGCATTAAGAAATTCATTCCAAAAATGGTTTTTGTACATTGCTAAGTGTTGACGCCTGACACAATATCTGTGCTAGATCAACTATCGATCGAATACAGCAGTAGAGCACATAAACTTGAGAGCAAAATAGTTGAAAGATGTTGCTTTGACATAAATGCATCTGCGTTCTTATAAACAATTGTGGAAGGACCTAAATGCGATTGTTTCTATAGGCGTTCTATAGACAAAGATTTTAAAGATAACTTTGAATAACGAAAATGTCGCACCACTAAGGAATCTTCAGGTGGTTAGGCCGTAATTACTTTGGAATTGAGTTTGAAAAAATATAAGGACAATTATAGGCACCTTGTAAGAAAAAACAAAACCCAATGGTTGTATGGTACAACAAATTACTCTCCTGAAGGGAACGGCTCGTACTTAGTCATAACGTTGCCCAGTCAAACAATTTCATTGCTCTAGAAATCTTATTTCGATGAATTGAAGGCAAAATCCATTTACAAAAATGTCCTATTCACGTTATATTACACATACACAACGGTTGGATGATAGAACACGAGACATATACTATAAATGAAATAATTAACAAAGGAACTAAAATCTAGTCAAACATGAATTTCTGTGAACAATTATACTATATAGTCCTCAAGGTAGGTTTACTAAAAGTTCATGTTGCGAACTAAATTATTGCCGGTTTTTACACTCTACTTCAGAAAGAAAATCAATAAGAAACTTTTGCTTTTGCAAACGATCTCCTGCTGGCAACTTACTTACTTAATTACTTGGATACTTGGATTGGCCGTCTTTTCCTGATTTAGCTATTGTGGTTCCCTCGAGTCACGAAGTCAGCCCAGCCAAAATCTACCCAGTTCATCACCACCACAGGCAATCGCCGCTCTTGTAGACCAGAGGGAGAATTGCCACAATGCGACTAGTTCGACACCAGGATAGACGGTGGTTGATCCTGGTACATGCTTACTCTTAGCTGGGCTTCCGGATGGAAACGTCGGACTGAGGCCCTGCTAGAAGGATGAACTCCACTACATAAGAGCCCGACAACCAGGAACAATTTCCACCCACAATGAGGCGCTAAAGCGTTGGGAGAGTTGGCATCTTAACACAGATGAAAACTAAAACTTGTCTGACGACGAATTAGTAAACTCGTAATTACGGTGGACTTTACACGAAATCATCAATAATCAGGTTATTAGACCACACAGAATTTATACATCATCACCATTCTCTACACAAAAAAAAACAATCGAAGCTAATTATTTCCTACACGACTGAGGTAACATGAGATTAGTATAAAACTTCTATTCGGCTGAAATTTCGGCGCCTTTGTCTTCCTTAAGATAATGCCCAACGTTGCCTTTATATAGTATTGCTAGTATATAATTCTGTGGTATTTCAACATAGTTACCACTGCGACGTTGCTGATATATTTGCAAAACTCTGGACCGCAGGTGTCTATGGTGAGGAACGAACGCGCTATTGTCCTTTCCGGGGAGTAACGCCTTCACCACCACACCATGGGGGTCCTTTGTTTCGCCTCTATTTCATCGCCTCGAAAACGCTTTCCCATATGGACTTTGGTATAAAGATTGTTTTGTTCTAGGGAATTGTATTGTTCGCAGTATGAAAAGCAAAAATATGAATCTACTGTTAACGAGTTGTTTCCATATTTTAAGAACCAGTTATAACAAGGTAACAAGAACTCTCGAAAGTTTCGTACGCAGTTTATGTAGATAGAAAATGCTGTACACAAAAACTGACGACACAAACCTCGAATTAAACTCTTTCCCCTCAAGAGCAATGAAATCTTCTCCGGGCTTCAGAATTCCACATGCGGTAGCAATAGATCGAGCTGTGTTAATATTGTCACCAGTTACCATACGCACTGTGATTCCTGCTTCCTGACATTTTGTGATAGCAGCTGGCACTTCTGAAATATAACCAAGTCATTATATCGACAATTTCACAGCAAGCTTTAGAACGGCATTACATTCTAAATCACTTTATACTAATGTAAATGAGAAACGGTAAAAACACACCAGGTCTAACGGGATCTTGGATGCCAAGTATTGCGATAGCAGTCAAATCACTCACAATGGAGTCTTCGTTATCCCAGTCAACTTCGCCCGTGTAGGCGATCTGAACTACGAAGTATGTGAAAAATCCTGCTGTAGGGAATAGAAAACGAAAAGTAGTACTCACTATTAGCACCCAATTCAGGTGCAATATATCTAAACCAACCTGATTCTCTCCTACATGTCCGCCTGCTGGTACGTAATCCTTGTAAGCCAAACAAATTGTACGTAATCCATCCGAGGCCATTGGTTCGATTACATTATGAACTAAGGCTTCAACATCCTTTGCACCAAATTTGATAAGTTGCCCGTTCTTCCCCATGAACCATTTGCACCGAAAATTTAAGCAAATAAATTTGTAGGTACATGATTTAAAATTAAGTATAGAACTTATTTATGTAACATTTTTTAAACTAATTTCCGTGAAAACGTTCGCTCACTAGGGAAGAAACGTACTTTTTTGTGATTATCTCAGAAGCACCTTTGCTGAATACACGATAGCCACCACCAGTTCGATTGATTACCGTTGACATGCTCTTCCGTACTGAGTTGAACGTGTACACCTTAAAACTCTTAATGTAGCAAATGTCCCTAAAATATATACAAGTGATGCTCATCGTCTCTCACAATTATAACAAACCTTGAAAATGGACTCCTCAGGATTCTTGTCACGAATATTTTGGTAACTGGCACCAAGCGCTAACACAAAACCAAGCATACCACATTCAGTTTTGTTTCCCAGTTGAGTAGCTTGTTCACCTATTTGTTTTGCTGGTATAACCTGCAAATAGTAAATGGGAGGATATTACTTTAATATCACGAAATCGATGTTTTAATACTTTGCGGAATCTCTTATTTTATACATCTTCCGTAAACCTTCTTCTATACAAAAACGCACCTTAAAAAACGAATATCTAAAAAGGAGAGCTCCAATACGATAAGTTTAGTAAAAACCAGAATAAAATAACAAAATTTTGTGTAACAAGAACTTTTCCGTTTAGTTCCTAAGTTATCATATAAATCCTAATTGACCTCATCCTAACCTTATATACTTTAGTACTACCGCAATTCATTCAAAGTCTATTTCACTGTCTCTTTAAATGTGTATAGAACGAACCTGTGATGAATAACTACTGTTTATTGAAATGCAGTTCAACAACAGTTCCAGCGTCTCCTTGTGAAGAGATTCCATTTTCGGGATTTCCTTATAGTGAACATCATTAATGTAAGACTGCACAACGGTCATTCTATTTGTGGTCAGCGTTCCTGTCTTATCCGAACAAATTGACGTTGCGTTACCCATAGTTTCACAAGCATCCAGGTGACGAACAAGATTGTTATCCAACATCATCTATAATATTTTAGAATTAAATAATACAAAAAAGACAGAATAGAGCGGAATATCATCGAGTTGGAATTCACATAATACCCTGATATAAAAAACTGTAGTAGGCAGTAAACAAAAAGTTGACTTTGTGACTTCGACTACAGCCTCAGCTTAACTAGGTTTAATGCCGATTTGCGCTCCCCAGACCAATCCCGGGGTGATTGCTGATGGCACTGGTAGATAGAAAACTAGCTTAGAGTAATATAGTTTTACTATCCTTATTAACCCAAACCTATTACGTCTATTCATAAACATTTAAATGTATCGACAAATAATGAAAAATAAATGTAGACATAAATTTTTTAATGCTCATCAATGTTCCCAGTAGCCCACATACCCACAAATCGTACAATATATGGTGATCGTAGTAGAAGCACCTTTTGGTATTTCTCAGCACTGGCTACCTATCAATAGGACCAAACAGTTTACACACAGACGATAAGCTTTACCTTTTTCACTGAATAGGCAAGTGAAAGTGTCACAGCTAAAGGCAATCCTTCGGGAACAGCCACTACGAGAACAGTAACGCCGATAATGAGAAAATTGATGAAATGCTGGAAGTCAGCTAGCGAGAACGACTTCTCTTCAATGGCATACCGAGAGATACAGAAACGGATAACCAGAATCAGCACCGTACAACCAGCCACAAACGATCCTCAAATATAGCAGTTGCACTATTTTACACATATACATTTGCTTCTTTGTTTAATTCTGAAGTGTTCCGGAGATGAGAAGAATAAAAAATTAAACTGTTTGGATTTAACAAACGCGTTCTTTTGCCGTTCCTTTTCTGCTTTTACTCCTTCTAATATTATCAGATAATCTCACAAACCATTATGTCTGTTACCCCATATAATGAATTACACAGGACCTAATTAATGGATGAAATCAATTAATAAAGATACACTTTTCTACCAAAATGTAATTTTCCTCATAATTTAATACTAAAACTACTGATTAACTCGCTACTACATATGTCAACACCTGAACTAAACGGCATAATTCTCGTCCGGATGGAAAATCTTAGACTCCTAAAACTGCTGCACCAAAACAATCACAAAATTCTATTCAAAAAGAAAAAAACTGGAAAATCCAACCTGCATAACCAATTTGTATAGCCAGTCGGGTCAACTTCGCCTGTAGAACTGAGCGCTCCTTCTTTCCAGTTTCCTCAGGAATAACTTTACCATTAGCGACACCATCTGCTCCATCAGCTTTCACATCTGAAATGTTCTAACGACAATACTTCGAACCATAACATTCACTCCATCAAACCAAGCGAAAGAATAGAATCTAGCAAGAATGACAGTGTTACATTCTCTAAACCAAGGGCTACAAAACTATCTTATAAAGGACAATAAAGAAAACACTGCCATCGGCTGTGTGACCTACAATTTTCAAAGACACCTGGTATAATGCAAGCGCAAATAGGCTAGGCCACTAAAAACACCTAAACTGAAATAGTGGAAACCATGGACAAAATGATAAACTTTGGCTCGCAAGAAAAAGAAGGAAGTGGAAAAATATAAAGACACGGAAATGGGGAAGTGGGTGCATCGCGAATACATTGCATTACAATACCTAACATCTCACAACTACGCCACAAACAGTATTACAATTACAATATCTCGATAACCGCAACAGCCTCCAATTCTCGTTAAACCAAATTATATTCTGTCATCGAAAACGTATTCCTACGATTGCGACAGTACCGTATGAAGGTTAACAATCAAAAACAAAAGAGAGCGTGCAGACGAAAATCAAAATACCGTACGCAATTCAGATAAAGTTGTTTGTTGGTCTAACACCAATGAAACATTTCTACTATGCATACGAAAGGAAAACACGTTTATAAATAGTGACTTTTGAAATGCGTACGTTTCTCAATAGGACGATGAAAAGATTAACACTCACCAAGTAAAGCCTGAGCGGTGCCTTCGTCTGGTTCAAGAACAGCGTCTCCTGAAACGAGGAGAAGCTAAAACTACGTGTGGAAAGAATGGGTAAGCATGTATGTTTTGTGTGTGCTTGATATACATATATATATATATACATACATACATTTATATATATACATGTGTATATATATGTATATCTAAATGTGTATGTATACGCATATACATATGTATACATATATGTAGCTGTATGAACGAGACATGCACAACACTGACATAGATGCACATATACAAATTTTCCGATTTTTCTGCCACTTCACAAGATTTGTATAGGAGAAAAATGTGGAATAGATACATGTCTATGAACAATGGTAGATAGACAGGACCGCAAGAAACCTCGAGGTTTTCGAAGACAGTCTGTCAGTCCACATTCTTCAGAACAGTCCACTGGACCGCTGGTCTCAGAAATGCATCACATAACACATGCAACTGATATCATGCCTGTGCAGGAAAAACCTAACGGCATATGGTCAGATTCGATGGCGCAGCACCAGAAAAAGCAGAATTAGAGGTACTAAGCATTATATTCTTCAAAACAAAGATAGAAAGAAGTACTACGCACGAGTAATACAGCCGATTGTGTTTATCCATTGTATGAAAACAACGACTTTACATAGGAACCATGGAAAAGCTTACATACTCTTACGAGGCCCATTCAATTACGGTATATCAATAATGCTTTTACTTCGGAACCTCACAATTCTAAGTGAGAGAATTACTTGAGTACTGAACAAACATCTTAAAGAGTAGAAAAAGCAAAACGACTAATTTTCATTGAAAAGCGCAAAATATAGTGATCTCAAGAAATCGACCTTATCCCAGAGTCAGCCATAAGTCCTCGTCATACCAAGTGAGACATACGGTTCATTTCCTTCTCGTGATTCTATTCATATATAGAGTACTGAATTAACACCTGCATTTGAACACTGGGGTTAGACATTTAAAGACATTTTTCGTCACAATAAAATGATTACTTGTCGAAGACATTTGTATAAGTTCATAGCAGGTGTCACCGACTTTTTCTGTAGAAAAAACGAGGTGCTCGTACTCAAAGAGTTTATTTTACACAAACGAACAACATTCTTAATAAATCACAATTTTTACAACATTTCTACAAGTGTTTTGCAATCAGTACAAATTGCAAATTCTACTGTTTACATATGAAGCGGCTATCTCTGAAGCAATCTAAACAGAAATTCTCGTTACGTTGGCAGAGAGTAGTGTTGACGTGCTTATCACGCTGTACAGTAGATCGAAATCACCATGTTCCTTCCAGTGTCTTACAACAACCACCAGAACTCCGTTGTTTCCCTACTTTATTAGTCTGTTGCAGACCTACTCAAAATCTATGTCAATAAGTTCGAGAACCAGTCTGTTCTTGTATAACTTCTATTATCCATTCATTAGTGGTCGCGTAACCAGACAAATTGAGGTGTCATTAGTTTTTCATAAATGTACTATGACATGATATCGGCTTCTACAGGACTCCATCCATAATTCGTACCCGTTATTCCAATAATCGCTCAATTGTGGGAATCCAACTATTTTCACTTGAAGACATTAATCTCTTCACCTCCACCACAGTTATCGTTCTTCATGAACTGTCCTTTTGACCGCAGCTGTGAAACACTATTAAAATCCAGTCCCAAATAACCGTCACAAGTAAATAAAAGTGAAAAGCTCTCTACGTTGCTCAATCCCTGAGGGATGCCCCAGGCACAAGCCTTTTTCAAGCATCTCAAGTTTCTGCGCTTCTTCGATTTCTCGCATTTTTGGTGTCTTTTCCAATTTTTGCGTTTTTCGTGATTTTCCGATTCGCGGCCGGAAAACTCGTCCGCGCTGCAGTAACCGTCTGGGAGTAGTTAGAGGTGACTGAATGCATATCCAGCCTACACAATAGCTCGCAGTAGCCTACTGATGTATCGAACCAGTGCAGCTATCCTCCCAGACACGTCTGGTACCAATTTGTCGACCACGGAGAGATGGAGGACTTGGTGAGTCTGGGACGATGGGATAGATCCCGTGTGTAGTGCAAGGTGCCTTTGACAACTGTGCAACGCGCGCCTCTCCGTCACAAGTAATTCGCAAAAATGTACTGCTTCTGACTATCTAAACAGAAGTAGTCCATCAACACTAAAACAGCTACCAGTGAAGTTTAAGGGAATATGAGGCAACAAATTTTTTCACCACTCACCACTGATACCATCATCAGCAATTTCAATCGCTTCCGCGAATTCACCGGGAAGAGATTTTTCGTCTTTTTTAGTGCCTTCATTCCCTTCTTGTTCACTTTCGAGGGATCTATCGATGCTGATGAAGTTCATTTCATTTTCTGTCCACAGCACACAAAATTCAATTTCTTAGCAATTGCTAAATATCCCATGATTTTTTTCATGAACCCATAAAGCATTGTTACCGTATGGAACGGATGTACGTAGAAAAATACACAAAAAATCCGCAATATACTCCAAATGTGCTGTGAAACCGACTAAGGCTTGAGAGCAATTTAAATTGATGGTGGATGAGTATTTCACCATACGGAAGAGTAGGAAATGTTCCAGAAGGATAGAAAAAGATAGAGAGTACATAAAAAACAAAGAACGGCGGAATTACTAAAACAATACACTACGAAAACGATGAAGAAAATAGCAAAAGAGATGGATTGATTTGTTAGAGGACAAAATGAACTGTACAATACACTTAGCGTACGTAGCTGAAAATTACGCGTGGTATAGTAGTAGGGATCCTCACGAGCAATGAGGTGCCTGTGTTTCGTTAAACTTGTGTACCCAGAACATTCGGAATCTTCAAGTCAAAAAGTCCGGTTAGAATGAATAGATATATGGTTCTGCTGTAGAACTACGCTAGGAATCTGTTAATAGTGCATGGTGATCAATGCGAATGTTGAAAGACTGAAAGAAGAAAAAAACGGAGAAGATAGGATAGAAAACGTTGATACTAGAGCGATAGAACGACTAAGAAAGAGAAAACGCAACAAAGGGACAGTTCACCAATGGACGCACGTACATTAGCAACATACGAATAGATGATAGGAGGCGAGTCGTGAACTCGCCCTGGCTAGATCTATCGGAAATGCTACTGCTCACCTATGCCTTGTTGAGATTTGCTCTTCGACAACAATCGAGAACGACGCTCTAAACTGACTAAACCGCTCAAGTGATTATGTGCATTTCGATTAAAAAAAAAACGAAAACCAAAAAGTCTCCGAGAATGACCCTCAACGCAGCGCAGACTCCACTTAAATATCTAACACTAATCAAATGTCTAATTCTTCAACTTCAAGAAAAGACTATTGATAAACAACGGTGAATAATGCAGAAACACTGGTACGAGTTGGGAATAGGGAAGGACATCCAGTCGCTAAAGATGACCACTTAAAAGCAGTTTACACCAACAGTTTCCCTTGACTAGACCATTTTCCTTTTACACTTACATCAGCAACACTTTGGTGATAAAAAATTGTATAAATTCTCTACAAATCTATATCTCCAAGGATTTTTCGGCATGTCCATTTTGTTCTTCAATAGAGAACGAATATCAAAACCAACTCAGTGTCATTAATTCCTAACGATATGCTAAACTATCACATGACGCGTCGTCTAATGGAAGCTTCCTCGATACCATAAATTGTGGACATCTTCGTAAAGTAAATGGTTTATAGTAAAATGCTTGATAATTTCAATACCTATTCCAATACGTTTGAAATTTCAAGAACTTCTATCTTGATGCACTCTACTCCAAATGGAAGGAATGGCCTAGCCACAACAAGTGTTGATTCATCACAGAAAACTACGTTACATTTATTCCTAACAGCCCCAGCAGCAGATGTACTGTCATCACACAAATCAAGCATAGATGTGGATTCCAATCTGATGCTATCCTGGAAATGCTCAATCCACATAAATTGAACCTCATCGCAACATACAAGCAGACGAAATCGATTTAAAAATAAAAACCGAAATAAATAATAAATATAGAAAGATGGTGGACATACTAAGCAATCTTTGTTACGAGGAAAAAAAGACAAATTGAAATCGACGTGTAAAACAGAGCAGGCAGTGGAAAACTGCTGATGTCGTAACCTTTCGAAGTACAATGGAATACTTTCTACTAACCATGGCGTCAAAAATGAACTACGAAAATGTTACGTACCTTCTCTCTTCGCCGCTTTTCGCTCCTCCTCAGCCACCGTCTTTGCTGCACCCAAAAGTGTCATGATGATACCCGTTTGCGAGTTAACACCAACGGCTGTGACAAGCATCTGATGTCAAAACAATGTAAATCACTGTAGCGTTTAAAGCGAAACAAATGAAATGCTACAGACTTTGGCGGATCCTTCCATAACATGCGTTCCAGATAAAATTACTGGATCATGATCAGGTGTTTTTCGTATAAGATCAGACTCTCCAGTCAGTGAAGATTCATCAATTTTGAGATCGTTCGCTTGGATGAGAACACCATCAGCAGGAAGTAAATCACCTTAAATTTAAATTATTGGATTCATTGCATAAAATCCTCCCAAAAATCATTGCTCACATATCACACTTAAAATCTTCGTTTAAGCAAATGATAAACAAATCTCATTGAATTTCAACAGTAAGAATGAAATCGCCGACAACTTAGTTTCCTACAGAGTGGAAGATTAATTTTCCTTATGAAAACCTACCATACTTGATTTGAGCAACATCACCAACTACGAGCTCGTTGACGACTACCTGAACTGATTGTCCTCCCCTAATCACTGAGAACTTGTGCTCCGTTTCAATCTTCGCTTGAAGTCCTTAAGAGAAGTCAAATATTAAGTAAAACACGTTTACCAACATCACACCATGCACCTCTAAATTGTCGCTCTTTTGTGTAATCATTGAGTGCAGTTACCAATACGACGACAATAACGGATATCAAAATAGCAACTCCTTCGATCCAACCAGCATCATGCTCACTGTCGTCAATAACAGTACCTGAAATGAGATAGTGATATGGAAGCATAGCATGATGTGCAACATTCTCACTTGGTTTAGAAAGTTATTTTACATGGCAGAATAACCTTAGAGTTAAAACTCATTATTTCAACGACAGCACCTATTTCCAATCCTACAACCATGACTACATTTAGTGTCGCATTGGTTTAACACACTTCACACAGGTTTCAAATACATTAGATGTTTCTAGATTTATAGCACTGTATGATTGGAGAAAAATAGCAGATGTGAGGAGTTTCATAGCTCCATTTTTATCCAACAAGGTCAATGAGAAACATATCGTCATCAACGCCAACAAATAAACGTATACATACACATTCAGAGTACACCTTTCGAAAGCTCAAGAACAGCAAAAAAAAGTAACAGCCAGCAATGCTGTATAGAGCAGAATATGGAATAAATTTCTCAAGGTTGTGTGGACCACAACTAGGCGAAATGACTTACAAATAATTAATCGCTTCGAAAACAAACACATCAGAACACAAGAATACACTGGCCACTATGGAACATATAAAACAATTTATACATGCATAACACCGAAAAATTGCTTTTTAAACAAATTTGATCTTCTTTCATTTCAAAAACCTTTTCAGAAGAAACTTCAATTACCAAAAAAAAAATTCCAACCTCTGCAATTACCCTAAGTATTCGATAAGTATCCACATACAAACCTAATCAGTTCACGAATCACACAGACTCACACGAGATTATCATTTCGCGGTCACTGTCCGTATGTTAAGTTCACCTTGCAAAATTTGACAACAGCAAACTTCAATTTAGGTTAGTCAAATTACACTCAGCTGCGTTTGTAGCTGTTGAGAACAGATGTGGCCACATCGTCCTCGGTCTCTTAGGAGACAATTACAGTTTTTTGTTGTGCTCTACCGCTTCATTTCCTTATCAGTCACTGACTTTACTCATCGCATAGCCGTTTCATATGTTTCACTTCGCAAGTGCAGTCAGCTGGATGGAGAAGATGGCATATCTGCTGAGATTATAAACGATATGTTCAGTTCGACATCAAATGAGTAGCAAGCTATGCTTTAAAAGAAACCGATACACATGGTGCATAAAGGCCTAAATAATTAAACAGAGGCAAAGAAATTGTTGCAAGAGTAGAAATATCGCCTCATCCAAATTACACGTGGACTTGTTCAGATCTAAAGGTGGCCCACGCTATAGACCTTTCTTTTGCGCTTCTCTAGATCGCTTTCTTTACGCTCGCTAAGCTTCCCAAGGTACAAACATCTTTAGAGCTTTTGGTCCAGTTTAATCTATCACTGTACGTCCACCGTATTAAATGCTTCTCATGGATTTAACCATATTTGTAGTTTTTATCTTTTTCTCGCTACGTAGAATTATTAATGCAATGCACACACATTCATATTTCTCAGAAAAACCTAATAAAAAGACTTGATAGGAATTTTTCATGGATGAATGCTCATCTCTTCATTGTCATGCATGTCAGCGGTTAGAACTCGATTTCCTTGTGACAACCAGTCTGCAGCCACTTTTTGCCCCGTAAACTACTTGAAACTTAAAAATTTGAAACTAGTATGTCACTAATATTATAAAGTTATTGCGTGCTTCTCTTAACCATCCAACAACACAAAACATGAAAAGACAAACACAAATAGGGAATACTTCAAATATCAAGAAAAACCACTTCTTAGCCTTATTTTGATATTCGTAACAGTGAAGAAAACTCTCCAAAAACAGGCAAAATGCACCTGTTTGCCTTCCAAACACAGAAAAATCCACTTTTTAGCAAATCCAAGTTACATGAGCACTACTGACGACGGTTTATCATTGTTTCGTGGTCGAAGGTCATGGCGTTGATTCGGCTTAAATGGTGACAATCCCATGCTGATAAACAAGAACGGAAACAAGACGCCGGGATTAGACTTGAGTCCTAAGTAATGGTAATCTACTGTCTTTGACAGCCTAAATCACCAATTTTGTGTAAATCGCTTGTGTTACAATACGTTCGACTTGCTGATGACATCGTACTTATAACAACAAAGATTAGCCAAGTAGAACGTATGCATGCCGACTTTGATAAAGCCTGTGGAAAGATTGGTCTTCGATTGAATCTCACAAAAACGATGTTTATGAAGAACAAATTGACTTCGTATACCCCATTCACGCTCAACGGAACGAATGGCTCTGAATGCTCCAGTTACGTTTACCTAGATCGGTAAATCAATATGATGAACGGCTTAACTCCAGAGCTGAGCAGAAGGAAACGAGCGGCTTGGGGAGCTTTCAAGAATATCGAAGATGTAGTAAAGAGAACAACGAACACCCGACTTCGTGCCCACCTTTTCGACTCAACGGTACTTCCCGCCCTAACGTATGCGTCACAAGCCTGGTCGCTGCGTAAGCAAGATGGAGGTTGCTCAGCGTTATCGAACGCGCAGTCGAAAGGACGATGCTACGCGTATCCCGTTCCACACAAGTAAGGGATGGGATCCGAAGCTCCGATCTGCGTCAACGATCAAACATCAAAGATTCCGTTCTGTATGTCAAACAGTCGAAGATAAGGTGGGCCGGACACTGGTCAGAGTTCTTAACGAAAAGCCTAGAAGAAAGATATAATGCACAGCGAGTCCCTAGGGCGAGCAGAACCCACTTAGCTACTCTTGCATGCGACAGGGAAAAATGGAAGATTTACTGACGCCCGTTCGAGTCACTCAACGATCAACGGGACTACAGGTGACATAGGTGATACCTCAAAAACCTGGGGTCCTAAGCAGGACGACCCAAACATCAACGAAGATTATGACGGGACAGATCCTACTGTACTTTGAATGAACAAGTCATAGCTTATCAGAATTGCAGCCAAGCTTGTTATTACTCGTTAGTCAGAAATGAGGTAAATAATTTTAAACTCTAAGCTTAAAATTATGGTGGGTGAGTGTGGCGCAGTAGTTGGAGGCGCCACTGCGACACACATGTGGAATCGATCCCAGCGCACATGGCCCACCAACCCCTCCATCTCTCCGGGTTCGGCAAATTGGTACCAGACTTGTCTGGGAAGATAGTAGCATTGGTTCGATACATCGATAGTCCACCGCGAGTCATTGTAAAGGCCAGATAAGCATTCAATCACCTCCAAACGACACTTAATGAAATCGAATGCATGGCGCATCCCTCAACGATTGATCAGCGCCGAGAGCTTTATCCTTTATCTTTTATCTTAAAATTCAAATCACACACCATCAATCACACACAATATTCTTACGTGCCTTGTGTGTGTTCGAGTGTCCGACGACAGTACAACAGCTGTACAACCACTATTACAGAGAAGTGTGCACTGCAGTGATTAAATGTGCTCTGCAATACACAAGTGGACGTCACCTCAGACAAACCAGTATGAGTCAAATGGTATTTTAGTTGTCAGTTTAAAATCCCGTGGAGCCCAGTTGCTTACGGTTTTTGCTCAGCAGTTACCATTAGCACGCACCCGCATCCCACCAATCGAACTTTCGACATTTTCCCGTATGCGACAGCGTCTGCAACCTTTGGTGGCTTCAAAACTCCAATTTCTTTTCACATCTACGCATGTATTATCTTCACAATGTCGATTTTCCGAATTCGAAACCATACTGCTGATTACTAGGTGATAACTGTACCTTTAACTCTGAACAGATCAGCAAACACGCATGCGTACACAGTAATTTATAAACCAGTCTATACGAGTGTCATAACATCTGGTTTCCATCTTCAACTTGCAACGACATTTCTAATTACCCTACAACACGACATCTGAATATGATTTCCAAATACAGAAATCATTTAACGTGGCAAAAATGGTGGACTTTCATTCTTGTCAGGGCACTGGTCCTGAATTAGCATTACGTAACTGGTACATTATGACAATTGACGATAGTTAAAACACGCACATATACACATATTCTTCAGCTGTTGTTGATAAGGCAATTATCCTGCATTCAGATAAGTCAAAAGCTTCAACCAAAACCATGTATGAGATAACCAAAGTGGTACCGAGACAATCGCCATTAAACGTGAGATTAGAATTAAGACAGCATTAGCCAAAAAATCAAAGGTAAAGAATAAAGAACTAAACCATACCATCATCTGGAGGCCGATAGAAGGACAACGCTAACGAGACGATGGCTGACACCAAAAGAATAACCAAAGTGACATCCTGAAATGGGAAATCTTATATGATCTTCTTCCAGGAATTAAGAATTCAAGAAAGTGGTAAACTTCTGATTACATTAGTTTTTAAAACTATTTTGCAAAAGTACAATGAATAAGTATTACTGCACACAGCGCTGAAAGCAAACGTTCGTTGACGTTAAATATAAAAGACATTTGTAAGTTTTTCATCTTTCCTTTCAGCTTTTGAATTACACTGGTTCTTCTTCTTACTTCCAAAATCCAGTGTGATGGCAAACGTTCTCTGAATATGGGGAGTGACAAGTTAGGAAGCGTTGAGAATTTGTGAACAATAGCAAGTGATATCGACAGTGCAACCATTAGGAGAGACCTCGATCTCTTCGATTTTAATGTCTACCGATCGATCTCTGATTAAAGGTGTCGAAAACAATACTACAGAAGTTCGAGCGACCAAAAAGCTAAGTTTTTTCATTAATAAATAGATCAGAAGATAATAAAAGACGTTAAGAGGAGGTCAGAAGAATGGAAGAAATAAATGTTGATGTTCGACGTTGATAAATCCCTGAGAGTTCCGTCATGAACTCAACTCTATTCGTAGCATTTGGCCCATTAAATAAGTTGCGAAAGCTTACCGACATATTAGTATTTTCTTTTCTTCTCATACAATCTTTCCTCCAATCTTTCAACCTCGGAGAGAAGGAAGGCTTGAGTGGGCCTGGGTGTGACGCCAAACCAAAAACCTCGTGCATTCTAATGCACGTTTAAGTGATCGTAGGGTTAAGGTATAGGATTATATTGAACATTCAGTTCCGATTTTAAAATCTCAAAACCGAATGGCCGACTTAGATCTTAATTATACTTAACACATACTTTCTCAACGAGCGCTTCTCGACGCTTTCTTTTTCCTTCCCACCTGTTTCATCCTTTCCTGAATCAAAATCCTTAGAAAGAAAAAGGTTTCTTTATTTACTACGGAGAACAACTGCTCTCTCACATAGGATTTTTTAAGCTTTCAAACACACCTAACATCCCTGCCATCAAAAGCACCAAAAACCTTTCGCCTTAACACAGTATTACTACAAAATTCCCACAAACAAACGATTATGACCCATTAATATGATCGATATTATCCACTAGTTCACCTGATGTAACTGTGATAATGTTTGGTATCAACTAATACAGCATGGGACGAGTACGGAGAGGTTGACAGAACCTTACTGCACTTTAGCAACCAAACCCTCAAAGGACAACTATAGCAATTTGTGTATAAAATGAAAGCGTTGGAAGCCTTCATTGATGACGTAATTATATAAGACATTGCCTGCTAATCGCCGTTAGTAATTTTGAGCATGCCAGAACAGAGCAAACATGACTCATTACCCTTTTGAACACCCAATTACCCGTATCAAAAGTGCAAATGAGAATATTTGAACAAATGTACATATTAAGAATGTTCTTCACCTATCCAATACCGTCCAATAAGCTACGATGAAGACTAGACAGAAATCTTTTATATTGATCTGGAGTAGTTCTACAGAGAGGAGCATACCTATAGGACCATTGGAGGAGGCATTAGTATGAATCAACGATAGTAGTTGACGGTATATGAATCCACTTTGATAGCATAATGAAGACTACTGGATACGAGGCTTTCATTTTCGCCTATATGAGATAACACGAGGATAAAAGGAAGGATACCGAGCGAGCTCTCAAACATTTCATGGAGACTTTGAATGAGCATCATGATGCCGTTCTTCTCACTTCAGTCTTGATGTCACATTGGAGAATTTAGGTAACCACATGGAGATAATGTCAATAGCGAGAGCTTGGATCAGTTTAGATCCTAATAGAAGACATGCGATGGGTTTGAGGTAATCACATTATGCGCGCATGGCAACTTTGAGTAAGTCAACTTTTCAACAGAGGAACTAATGAACTTAGGTCATCAATTGCCAGCGATAGCTATCCAATACATTCAGCACAATAACTGTCGAGAAGAGGATAACGTAACTAGGCATCCTTTATAATAACTTAATCAACATGTTCGATTCCTTATATAAATCTTATAGCTACTGCAGAGACTTCTTAATCAACTTCACCAGAGCAAAAAAAATCTCTATTTTCAGGAAATCCTCTCCGAACAAAGAATATACAAACAAACGTAAAAAATGGAACAAACCTGCAATGCTTCCCAGACTAGCTGCAAAAAACACTTGGGTGGATGAGGTGGAATTTCGTTCGCACCGAACACAGCCCGCCGTCGTTCCAATTCTGTGCTTGTATTTGGTATACCATTGTTCGGGTCAGTTTTCAACCGCTCACATAAACCCGTGATTCCGCTGTAGTCAGCATCAATTTTCTCCTTCGCTTCCACACCTCTGCAACGAATTTGACAATAAGAATCCAAACCTTAAAACTTATTAATTTGATTCAATAGATCTCAATCATTGTCATTCTCTGCCGATCAACTCAGAAAAACAAATATATACACAAAAATATCTTAAATAGGCACATTGAATAATATGTGAGATATAACACTATATATTGTGTATAACGCTAGCCGAAAAATATAACTATATATTGTTCAGTGAAATTTCCCACCTTGAAATTTTTTCGAAAATGTAAACATTACAGAACCCTAAGGACTAAAAAACGTTACTAGTGCACAAGCGTTTAAAAGTGCGTAAAAACCACAGAAGCATGTGATTGTATGGTAATGGTATAAGAACAAAAACGTTTTAATGGAGCAAGAGCTCGACTCAATGAGTTCTTTAGAGATTAAGACCGAAATACCGTCCCTTACACAACACTTCAAAATTATCTTTCTATTATACTCCCACAAACAACCACAAATCACAAACGAAATGTTTACACAAACGATCTAAAAGTGATTCCAAAGTCAACAATACAGTGACTAACAGTCCAATTTTCTTGGCAAATACCGAAGTCGGCACTTCACATTGAGTTCTCATATTCTTGCTGAGCTAACTAAAGGTGGTCGTACAATGTTTGTTTAACGAACTGATTAGAGTACGACAGCTGTTTCACGTCACTATAACCGTTGATCAAAACAAAAGTTTAGATCTTTAGTGCTGGCTCTAGAAAGTATTTATCACTTTTATACGTAAATTACCTCCTACCGCCTCATCGTGGCTGGGTGTTCCTGGATATCGGACTGCGATGTACAGCGGGGGATTCATACCCTGGAAGGGTCTTCTAAGCCGAGAAGGAGTCCGACGTTTCCATCAGGAAGCCTAACTAGCAGCAAACCAATATAATTCATCACCGCCCTGGTATCGAAGTCGCATGGTGGCAAATCTCCCTCTGATCCACAAGGGCTGCGATTGTCTATCGTGGTGAGGGACGACCTGGGGTAGACTTTGGCCAAGCTGACCTCAGGACTCCAGGGAACCATAATGGCTCAACTAGCAAGTCTCCGAAGGATGGAGATTGTGCTGAGACCCGCACAACCAGTGGGGAGGAGCCATTCAACTATCTAGTAAGTCAGAATAAGTAAGAATAAGTAAGAATGTGACTGTTGCTAAAAAACTGTTGACACTTCGCCAATTATCTTCATGGAACTGTATATCACATAAAGCGAACCATCGTACAATATTAAGTATATCAATAAAGTCTTTACGAAATGGCATAGAAATCCATAACTCAGATGAGAAAACAATATGACAGAATCTAAATAATTTACCACAGCCTAATCCGCTACTTTCGTTACCTTATAACACAGTGAAATAGAAAATTATGTGCAAATAGAAAGTGGAGAGCAAAGCATCTAAAATGAGCCAAATCTCGTAAGGAACAAAACTGCTGGAAATGGAATGAATAAGTTAGCCTACCTGATTTCCTAAATACAGTATATTTTCACATAGAATTCAATAAACATCAAAGCTCGAGCACCGATGAAGGGGAAAAATAAAAGTGTACAGAAAACGGTCTGCAAACAAGGAGCAACTCCTCGTAGTTTACAACTTTTCCTGGTACTAACTAGATCGGTAAACTTGTAAACAACAAGTTAAGAAACATTCAGAGCTAAAACGGCAAGAGGTGCTATAATTTTTTTAATAAAAGTCATATCTCCATAAACGATGGCGTTGTGGACGGAGGAGCCCTGCAATACACATGGAATCGATCCGCGCGCCCGTGGCTCACCAAGCCTTTCATCCCTCCAGGGTCAGCAAATTGGTACCAGACTAGTCCGGGAGGAGAGCAGCACTGACTCGATACAACGGTAGGCCACCAAGAGTCATTGTAAAGGCGAGATAGCATTCAACCACCTCCAACGATACCTAATGAAGTTGGATGCATGGCGCACCCCTTAAGGATTGATCAACGCTGACAGCTTTATCGTTTTACCTCCATAAACGTTAGCTTACAATGGTCCTCTTAACATTCAAAGTCAACTGAAAATGATCATATGGTCACAAAAATATGCTAGATCGTTCGTATTACAATTAGGTGATTTATTACGTTACTACATGATTCATAAGCACATTAAGTAATGAAAACGAATAAAAAATTAAACAATAAATAAATAATTGTGCTACAGCATATTACATACATGGAAAGTACTTTCTAAGGAACTCAACGAGACATGACCTTGTGGTCAACGAAAAATAACTTTGGAATTCATTTAAAATCCGTCCATTCGTCATTACAACATCAAAACAAGGATCACCGACGTACCTGTACTCCATGAGAGCGCGAAGCTCATCCAGCGAGGCACCATACTCGCCCATTATGAATCTAAAAATTCCATGTTTTTCTTCAGTAAGCAGACAATAGGTCGTTACTATAGAATTTATTAGAATACAATAGCTGACATTTCGGCGGCGGTTTCGCCTTCTTCAGAACCTGGAAGGGTCAAATTGAGATGCGATCTACTCAGCCAAACACTTTCATAACCCTAATAGATAAAACTTAACAAATAAATTTGCATTTGCATAAGAAACAGCTTCACTTAAACACGTACCGTTTATTTGTTGTAAATATTTAAGTTAGTTGGTGGATAGCAGCCGCATAGAGTAATACATGGGCGATAACTATCTGAGTCAGGTCATTGGATCAGTCTGAGGGATGGCGCTAGGTCGCGCGTAATGACAAGACACTCCTCCATGCGGCTCATTTTTGAAATTTTAGAATCGGTCCAAAACGCTTCAAGAGCTTTACGCGCTGAGTCTTAGATTCTTGTGCGAGCATAGTGACTTCTACCTCAAAATTTTCTCAGTTGTGTTTCTGTTTTGGAAACTGCTAAAAATTCGAGTTACAAACAATAATAGTGGGAAAGTGTGGCAATCAAACACCTGTAGACATATGCCTTCATATTTTCTTCTGTCGGTTTATAGCCCTATGAGCGTTCCTGTGTGTTGAATTGCGATGTGTTAAGAGTGGACGTTCCACTAAGGTCATACAGTCTGAGCAGTTCATCATTTTGTCCCAAAGCCCAAGTAGAAGTGAATCTATGTAACGACGCAACTCTGTGAGCTCGTCTTTCCCAAAACACTAACGATGAAGAGCGTACTTTGAGAGGTGTAGTGGTGGTCATTCTCTTCGAGCAAGGTGAGCTTTAGACAGCAGCTCTGCCGCAACGAAAGGAGCACGAACCGGTTACTCGATAGTTAACAGAATTACAGTTAATATAGATGGTCTACATCGCATGATCTTAAGAACTAGTTAATAGCACTATGCATAATGATTCACGAGATGGTGTATATTTCACGCTTTCCGAGTTACAACCTCAGTGGATATGCTCGTAGGATCCAAATAAATTTTACCAGATGTACTGAAATTCGAAACTTTTGACTGTTTTCCCAAACATTTTTAAGGAATTGACTTGTATTTCAAGTCGGAAAAAAGCAATGAATTTGTAAGAAGCAAAACTAATGCAAACAAGTAACGCGACGCGAGCTGTACATAATGGAACAGCACAGATAAAATGTTCTCCCGATGGATCACTGAGAAATCAAAAACAAGTCTTTTACCTAACGAATTTGAGGTGTTAATGAAAAACTTCTAAGAAACTCGGAAAGCACAGATGGAAGACTGAAATCAGCAAAGCCAACTGTTCTTCATAGCAGAAGCTTTTTAACAAAATCTCGCTCATGACTTACGAAGTAAAAGTGTTGAATTCAACAAAACCCTGAAACGTACATGAAAAAGGTATCGTTTTCAATAGTGGATCAATCTGCGATGGAATCCGTTTGCACAAACCTTCGTGTTGTAAACCTCCCGTTCCCTAGGGACAATACACCATGCACACACGCAAACTAGATGGCACTATGGTAGACGAAGCGATCGTAGAACACCGACCAGACACTATTCCAGATCCACTATTCCCATTCCCAGTAGGTGGTACCTGAAGTACCTTAGATATTTACCTTTAATCAACTTACTACTGCAACAATCTAAACACGGATGACAACGAATACGTAATAAGTGATCGTCTACAAATAAAAACTGAATCATAAACAATTGGTTATTAGAAGTCGAACATGTACCGGCCAAACGAGACTATAACTTTCTAAGATTATACAAAACATGTAGGTAGAAAGAAAGGCAAGGAATAATCATAAACACATCACAAAGCTCGTCGCTGTGTGTATGATTATCCCGGATGAAAATAAGAAACGTTTTCCGACAACAACACCAGTAATGGTTACGATGGCGAAATTTGAGAGCTAAACATTGTCATTTAAGAGCAGACAGTATCGTAATCCAAAAGAAACATGATAATCGAACACCAATCCCCTTCGTAAAAGAACTCGAGTCGACCTGGAAGGTAATCGAATTCAGAAATGGAATTCCATAAAGTCGTCTTCGAATTCGGAAAATATTGTGCCTGGAAGAAATTCAATTTTAGGCAAAAGTACGAGAATTTGAAAGAAAAGTTATCAACTACTCAAAAAACAGTGAAATGGAATGATTGTTCCATGAATACCGGCTCATCAGCTGCAGTCAAAGGCAGGTACGGTCCTTCCACACCTAGTTGAATCATGGAGTGGTCATGGAAATTACCGATTATAGAAATTTGTGAAAAAATGGGATGCTGGAAAGTGAAATCAACATAGTAATGATCACAACTGGTTCGTAAGTGACCATAGAAGCTCTTCAGTTCCACTGATTTACTAGTAGTGAACATAAGAGTTAAGCACGAAAATACGTTACGCAGTAAATCTTCACAAAATTGTTTGCTTTCATACTTCGATTCATAAAAACCGGACCAGGACGAAAATGTGGAAAAAATCACGAGGGTTCTACAAATCACTTCTCAGATCAAACTCTGTTTTCATTACAAACAACGGCTAGAAAAAGCAGTAAACAATCGTGTCACCGTGAGGAAAAACTGCTTTCTAGTGTAAAGCAAAGCTCATAACGTAATCTAAAGCACTTATTCGG